GAAAAATATCGACACCGAAGAAACGGGTGATCGACCCCGATATCTATGAATGAAATAATATTTTACATTAACCATCGCAATGGCACTTATTACAGCGTAACTAATAATAAAATCTGAACTGGATTCTACTCTAAGTGAGTCTGTTCCTTCGTTTGCAACAGTTACAACAGTAAAATATTGGGTAGCAGAGAGCGTAACATGTGTCCATCACTGCACACCCAAGACGAAAGAACAATCAAACATTAAACTCAAAAGACAGTACCGGCTCCAGAGAAAGCGAAGACCATTTCATCTGGCAAGGTCATGGCATAGGTTTTTTGGGATGCGGGTGGGATAATTTCCATTGACTATATTAAAAAAGATAAAATTATCAACGGCGAGTTATGCGAACTTATTGCAACGTTTGACTGGAGAAATCAGGACAAAATGGAAGCATTTGACGCATAAAAAAGTGTTGTTTCATCAAGACAATGCACCAGCTAACAAATCCATTATCGCAATGACCGAAATCAACTTATTAAAGTTGATATTAAAGTATAGAACTGTTATGTCAGGTTCTTCTGAGACTACCTACGTATCTGTTTCACATGTAGTTTCAATTACTGAGACTCTTTCCACTTCTTTTAAGTTCGAAGGGGTAATTACCCACATTTGTCCTCCTAGATACGCCCTTGCTCCAATATGTATTCAATGATAGAAATTACGCATTTTATGTCCAATAAAATAACGTCTGCATTTTAGTGTCGTCTATGATAGTATGTCTCACCATTCCCGAATTGAATCGACGATAAAACGGACGAGTTGAATCGAAGAGATTATTGATTTGCCGTTCAAACAGATGAGCTTGAAATTGCGTGGGGGAGCTCTGCTGCAATCGGATGATATAATGACAGATTTCCACTCTGAATTGCGTGGTTGTGTGAGTTATTATATACGCGATCTTTGTGGGAAAACCGACGCGTTTCAAGATTTATTTAATTCTTCGCGTATGTGATAATTAAGAAGATGAGACGTGAATGCATCTGTCTGTGAAAAATATATCATTAGTTTCATGATATAACTGAACATTACTGAAGGGTTTTTCATGACCAGAATTGCTGATATTCTGGATTCAGAGTTAATAATCATATCACCAATCTTTCTTCATGTAGTAAATTCATATCCCTTTAATTTTCAGATTTGTGACAGATTTTCCATTCCACACTGGAATGTAATGTAGGTACTCAGAAGTAACTGAAATTTCTGGAAATGACCTCTGACTTTATGCCTCCAACTGTCAACTACGAACTGCCTTATAACGTACTTTCCCCGAGTAGGGAGGACAGTATCCTTCGTGAGAAGGAAATATTGAGAGATACATCACAGATGGATCAAAAATACTTTCCAGTTCTGGTGCAGGTGTTTTTAGTCGCAGACCCAGGACAGAGATATCCACCTGCCTAAAAACCTATGCGACTGTATTTCAAGCAGAAATTTACGCTATTGAATTGTGTGCAGAGAAATTGGTAGAATCGAACCTCATTCACAAGCCAATTAAAATATTCTCGGACAGTCAAGCAGCGTTGGAAGCTCTTGGCTCTTACCGAGCAACGTCTAAATTGATAGCAAATTGCCAAAAATGACTCTCTTTGATAGAAAGACTTAACAGATTGCTGAATTTGAAATGGCGGCATAAAAGTTCCCAGACATCAGTATCGTCCTTCATGGTAAACACCTACCTGGCTGGGGCGAGTGAATGAAAAGATTGTCTACGGTGCCTCATTCGACAGAGTGTCAGGGCCTTCTATATCAGAAGGGGTCGTCAAAGGCATAACCTATGGCTTCACTAACTAACGGATCATTGAGAGTTTCCGTACCATCAAAAACTTGCCGATTCCTCGACTGAATGGACTGCTGAATGGAAGGCAGCTGAAATTCTCTGCGGCTGGCTTCATTCCGCACGAACGAAGTATTCACAATCATGCGTATTAACTTGTTTTGCATTTTTTCCGAAATGAAGAGATTACTCGGAGCCGCCTATCTCCAGACGCCTGGAGCGTACATGATCACAGGCTTGGAATCGTATTATAGATGGCAACTAGCAGAAGAAGATATCATTCTTTCCATGGTTATCACCTGAGTCTTGTCCGGGTTCACTCGGATCTTCCATTTGAGGTACCAGCGCTCGAGGTCATCCAATGCACGTTACTTTTAGACGATCTCGAGCTCCCGACCCATGGAAGATGAGAGAAGAGCCGTATCATCGGCGTAAAGAGATACCTTCATACTCTCGGACCTCGGAAGGTCGCTGGTGTAAAGCGAATACAGCGTGGGAGAGAACACGGCTCCCTGAGGCACTCCAGCGAGGATCTTCCTGTTGTCAGACAGAGACACAGTCGAAGGCCTTTGAGATGTCTAATAATACTACATGGACTTTACGATTATTCAACTGTTCGATTGTAATTTTCGATCAGTCTCAGAGCCTGTAGCTCAGTGGAGCTCAGTGGAGCAGTGGATCTCTCCTGAAGCTGAATTGTTCATCAGGCAGAATATTTCGGCCCTCGACTTCTTTGTTGAACCTTTACAGAACGACTCTTTCAGCCAGCTTATCCGCCGACGAGAGCAGACTGATCGGGCGATAATTCTGTGGGAACAGCGAGTTCTGATCCTGTTTTGGGATCATTACGACGATCGCATGCTTCCACCTTCTGGAGAAGTACCTATATTCATACGCCGGTTGCGTGTAGGCTCCGTCCACTGCACTTCGATAAGATTTTTGAACTAGTAAAATGTTAAGAAATATTTGTTCATTTTCGTGGACATTGTTAACATCAGAATTGAGTGGCTAATTTAGAGTAGACCTCTAAAACAATGTTGCATTTTATCAGTTCGGACTTCCATTGTCTAGTATGATACAAATTGGTTTGAAATCCTTGAAAGAATCTGTGAAAAATTATAAATAAAAAGGTTAGCTGAAAACAATTATATTAGGCACAAAACTGAAATTACAATGAAATAAAATACAAATAACAACCGAAAAATCAAAAAAATTAAATATTAACACGAAATGAAAACTAAAAAAAATTAAAATCATTTACAAGAAATGAAAATTACAAATTGAAAGTTTCCAAACCTAGTGAATTCACGACGTTTCGATTGATAGAATTCACAACCGTTTTCGGGTAATAACTGGACTTATCAGAGATTTGACTATTTATAGGTTACTCGAGTGCTATCACCTATCTCCTCTTCCCTCTCTCCGCTTCATTAGTTTTAGCGGAAGCTGACCATTGGCGGGAGTTGGTCGTGTTCCGCTTGATTAGAGGTTTCCATATGTTGCGTATATCTACGCTAGCTTAGCTGAATGCATTGTTAGACAACATATATGCGGCTTCTTTGAATTTCCTCCTGAACCAGTGTGGCTCCTTGTGGATGATTTCAGCTTGGGCCCACTTGATGTTATATTGATGAGTCCAAACATGCCCTGCTATTCCTGATTTGCCGGTTCCTCCTTGCTGTATGTGTTTCTTGTGTTCGGCAATGCGAACTTTCAATGGCCTCTCAGTTTCACCGATTTATGATTCTCCTCACTCGCAGGGTAAACGGGAAATGCAATTCTTGAAATCGCAGTCAGCGTTCGGTGGCCTGGCTTTCGTGAGACTGCTACGGATAGTGTTCCCATATCTGAAACAGGTTCTGATGTTATACTTGGACCCAATCCTCCTTATCTTTTTCGACGATCCTCTGAGGTTAGAAAGTACAAGTACTGGTTCTCTTCCTTGTGGAGCTCTTGCTGTCTTCTAGGCCTGTTCCACCACCACTTTGGAGTAACTATTCCGTTGAAGTTCATTTTTGATGATGCCTAGTTCCTTTTCGAGAACTTTCTTTGTATTACAGAGCCCGAAAAGACGGTCTAGTAGTCTTGATGATTCCTCTCTTAGTAGATTGATGGTGGTTAGATACCTGGTTCAGATAATGTCCTGTGTGAGTGGGTTTTTGATATACAGATGTTTCCCACCAATATATCTAAGAATGGCAAAGTTTTGTGGATGTCCTTCTCTATTGTGAAATTTATGGAAGAACTCACGTTGTTGATATGCTTTAGGAAGGTGCCTCATTCTGCATTCCCATGGTTCCATATTATGAAAGTATCGTCAACGTATCTCAAACAAACTCGGGGATTCTTGTGAACCTCTTCAATGGCCAGCTATAACGGGTGAAAATGGCGATACCATTGGAAGTTCCTCATCTTGCATAAAGAATTCGTCCTTTAGTTGGAAGTAGCAGTCGTACACAGCATCCTAGTAATTTCATGATTACTTGTATCGGTAAGTTTGTTCTATGTTTCAGGTCCCCATTTTCGAATAGATTCCTCTGTATGATTTTAAATGCTCCTTCGACAGGGACGTTGGTGTAGAGGCTTTGCTCAATATAATTATTATTTTTTCAGCTAACCTTTTCATTTATGATCTTTTTACAGATTCTTTCAGGGATTTCGAATCAATTTATATCATACTAGTCAATGGAAGTCTGAACTAATGAAATGCACCATGAAACATTCTCAATCATCTTCAAATGAAACAATGTTGTTGTTTAAAGTGTTTATAGGTTCATTTTATGAAGTAATATAAAAAATGAATAATTTGAGAACTGTCTTTCATCATTCTTCTCAAATACTTCAATCGACGAATCCTCATCATTTCACTGAAACATTATATTTCATCAAGTACTTCACTGGATTTTTCACATTTTGTCTGCCCGGTAGTGATGAGTCTTCAATTGAAAAGAAACCTACCACAGAAACCTACTCTTTATTAAATTCCAACGACAGATTAAGAAAATACACACAAGATCAGAGGACGTTTCTAAGAGAATTGGTTACAATTGAGGCTCTGTTGGCAGTTACTATAGACTTATCAAAGGTTTTCTTGGAGATGACTATAATATAATTATCTACAACTGGTTATAATATAACGAACATTCTCTTCAATAGACATATTTTTTTCATTCCAGATGAAACAGTTGCCTTCGACTCACATCTCCGCGGTCCCTCCTTCGTCATGGAACCTCCCCCCAGACTTGAGTTCTCCAACTCCAGCGGAGGTTGGCTAGACTGTTCGGCTTCTGGAAGTCCTCAACCAACCATAGACTGGCTATCAGTGGACGGTAGCTCGGTGGGCGACGTTTCGGGTATCAGGAGAGTCCTCAGAAACGGTACCCTTTTCCTACAGCCATTCGCAGCTGCTGCATATCGTCAGGACATCCATAGTACCGTGTACAGATGTGTAGCTAGCAATGCCATCGGAAGGGTGATCAGCAGAGATGTTCAAGTTAGAGCTGGTGAGTAAGGTCAAATGAAGTTTTTGATTTTTTCGAAATCATTCAAAACGAGCACTTTTCACAAACACCAGAACTGTAATATCCACGAGTAATATCCTGAAGACGTCAACCTGGTTGGTGAAATGCGCATCGACAAGGGTATTGCAGTTCAGGTGTTTAGGAAAAGTGCTTGTCTGGGATTCATTCCACACTGAAGGTTCCAGTTTTACCTATCATTTGAATATGAGACATTTCATTCTAGAGTAGTAGCCTCAGAATTGGAACACCGGTTTCCATACTCAGTTGAATTATATTCAATTCTCAAATGTGATTATATTACTGTGAAGACATCAGGGTTTTCAAAAATAAACGAAGTAGAAAACGTTATGCTTCGAGAGATCTTCTTTCTGAATAAACTACTATAAGTTCAAAACAGGGTGGATTTCAGATACTATGAATTCACAAATTTCAATTCAATGCCAAGCAAGATTACCTTACTACAATGGACAAGTTCGCAGCAAAGAAAAAGAGTTATGATCATTGAATAAATTGATGGATGTAGCCGTTACTACGTCGTAGCAAATCATAACGAAGAAAAGAGAATTGGAAGTGTCGATGTTTTTTACCATATGCCAGGTTATCTGATTTCCTTTCCAATGCTGAAGATAAAGTGGACAAGATGGAGGAATTTGAAGTTCATAAGCTTATCTGTCCAACCGACCAGACAAACTAGTAATGAAGAATTAGCAATACATACATTTAGAAAAGCTATAACCCAGAGAATGTTTCTATTTTTTCGGTCCAAAATTTTACAATGAAATACCAGTTCAGGAATTTAAAAACTAAAATAAAGAATTATATCCTGAAAAACAAGGAAACTTTCTATAAAATACAACGATAGTGAATACATCCACCATTTGCTGCTATCTTTCAGAATTTTGGTAAAAATACGTGCACACATTAAATATATAGGTGTTTTGAAGTTATGCTTCACATAATAGTTAATTACCTCCCTTATTTTTTTTTATCTTGTGACTCGCCAAAATTTTTGAGATAATTTTATGTACAATACTAATAGTTTTTTTTAGAGAAGCCCTGGATAAAACTCACACACACATACACAATAATACCTAGGTATGTTTTACTCAGGGAGTAAATCTAAGCCCATTTTGTAAAAAAAAANAGATCGAAATCGTCAGATTATTGAATGAGAGCTTTTTTGTTGCACTCAACACCCCCTTAGAAAATCTGACGTGCTCGATTAAATTTTTTTTCTTTTCACTTTTAACCCTTACATACAACCACCCACATCATGCAAACGATCAGATTAACATACCAACATTATTGAAAATACGTAGGACATTGATACTATCAATACCTGACGCGCTCGAGTATGTCCATGCAACAGTATTTTTTTACATATTTGAGAATCTATAGCCGCTTCCCCCACCGATAAAAAGGTATATATTATATAACATTTTTTTCTTCTCATCATCTAAGCTTTGCAACCTAATATGTCTCAATGACGCTCAATCAGCGATTCGATTTTTGTTATTTCAATCGTCGCAAAACACCCTCCTATCATGAACTTCTGCAACCTTGGAAACAGGATGAAGTCACAGGGGGGCGAATCTGGTGAATACGGTGACTGAAGCATAATTACGATGCTGTTGTTGGCCAAAAAATTACCAACAAGCAATGACGAGTGAGCTGGTGCATTATCGTGATGCAAAAGCCATGAATTGTTTTTTCACCATACCGGTCGTTTTTTTAGTATTGCTTCTCGCAAGAAACGTCTAATGTTCCTTATTGAACGTGCTAACATGCGGAAAAAACTCCTGATGCACCACGCCACGGTGAACGAAGAGAACAGTAAGCAAAATTTTGACATTAGATCGTGCTTTTTTGATCTTGGTTTCGGTGTTATAACCATTTGGATCGTGGTTAACGTCAATCATCTACCAATAATTTTCGTTTATTTTTTTTTCTTGTAACTATATATATGTTTCAATTTGTGAATGTACAAAATACTGGTTGAGTGTAAGAGTAGCGTAAGCTAAACTCCGCCAGCATAAATAAAGACAATTTATTATTATTATTCGTGATATAAAGCCGTAATTTCGTAGATTAATTGAGTACTTCATCTTGTAATATTATCCAGTTTTGTGCTGAAGAGACAATGAGACGAGTGTCTCATTCCGAAACATCGATATCCGCCATTGCGGATTACAGTGTTCCATATAAGTTTCATATACTACATTGTGTAGCAATCCTGTGAATGATATCTGATTCAATTCCATAATGACTATTTTTAGCTCAAACTGGAAAGAAAAGTGTTTTTCGTATAATTCAATGTTCATTTAGAAGTAGTTATTTCGAGTCCATTTTGAAATAATTTGGTTTTTCTCTTTCTTTGGAAGATTCCCACATTTTTTTGTATAGAGTTGAATAAGTAGAAAGCCGAAACATGTTTCACTAATATTATTTTCTTCCAGAAATAAACCCATTTCAATTCAAATCATAATGTTGGCAAAAATACCCGGTACAGCACCGCGGTGAATAAACTCGAAACTGTGACATAATTCTGTATGCCGAACGAATATTTTTCTGTTACGGGAATAAAAATTGAAACGAGTACAAAACAATAAAACACCCCGCGCTCTCGTCTATTTTCCAAAGCGAACGTAAGCCCTGTTCGACGAGGATGGATTGTTTTCCATGGATGTCTCGGGAGTATTGTATTTTGTTTAGACGGAACATCTTTTTCAAATCCCGCCATCTCTATGATCAGCGTGAGTAGTGAATAGTTAAAACGAAAGAGTGTTTGCTTGAATACCGAAATGCGGTTGGATTTCTGATAGAAAGTTCATTGAAACTGAAATATCACTGCGGATTATACAGCATTATGCACATTATGCATTGTGCATGAAACCGATGAGAATTATATTCATTTGTGTTATATAAAATTGCACTGTTTCGATAATAATGATAATAATAATAGTAAACGGTCTCTATTTTACGTGAAGAAGTTTAGCAAACGCTATTCTTCCACTCAACCACGTTTGAAAAAAAGGAACATTACAAAAAATGAATGGAAATTTCAGAACAATAGTAAAATGAAATACAAATGTTTATGTTTGGATCACTGTTGACTGAGCAATTCAGTTTTGAGTTTACTTCTGAAAAGCGATAGTGATGAAATTTTCAAAAATTCACTGAATGAGTTATACATTGTTACAGCATGATACGTGAAGGATCGTTCATAGATAGTGCTGTTATGATTTGAAATATCAAAATCCTTGTTAAATCTAAGGTTTTTTGAATGTATCTGATGTCTGCGAAGGAGTTTGTTTACCAAATAAGTGGGTTGTTGTTTTTTTATTAGTTTGTGAATGAAACAGGCGAAAAGCAATTCTATTCTAAGTCAAGCTGAATATTAGTCTAATGCAGGTGTTCTGTACTTTCTGAATTCTTGCAGAAGTTGTGGAATTATTGCAAGGGCCATAGACGGCATCGCAATAATTGAACATAGATCATAGATATAACTATTACGTCTGAGAGGGTAAATTTGAGAGACCTGCTACGATAGTGTCTGTTTGATTACAGATGTTTCAGAGCATAGAGTCTCTGTGCACTTCCTATCTTCAAATTTGAGTAAAACAAAAGGTTCGGCCGTGAAAGCCTCAATTTTCAGTGTTAACACAGTATATAAGTAAACACCAGTAAGTTCACTCTCCGCCATATTTGAGTCAAGATTTCCTACCTCGAATTTTATGCGCAGGCGAACCACAGCGCAACCGACTGAATCTGATGCGTTTACCAAGCGAGCCAAATTGAGGAATGGAATATTATTACAGAGTGAGTGGTTGTAAATGGTGGTTTTGTATTTCTGAAAAATTTGTGTCTAGTTTCAAAATGAGCAAGTGTCAAGCTGTAGCTTGCTGTAATTTGCAGGGTGATGTCGGCATTCATTTTTTTACGATTTCCAATTGACGGAAAAGGGTATGTTTTTCTATTATTTATTATGTAAGATTGATATTGTAGATACAGGGTTTTATCTAAGTACATACCTAGGAGTTTAGCTGTATCAGATAGTTGGACGTTTTTAAGATTCAATGTCTTTCTCAAGGGGAAACCCAAGTGAATTATTTTATTTGCATTCTGTTTCAGTTGGTTTCTGTCACACCAAGAAACCATAACGTCCATGACTGAGTTATATTGAATTCTACCTAATATATTGTGTTACCAGACACTGATATGGTAGTGTCATCTGCGAACATCACGGTGTAACCATATTTGACATATTTCGGGAGATCATTTATATAGATTGAAAACAGCAGCGGTCCTAATATTGAATCTGTGGTACATCAAGCTTAATATCTTGAATATGTGATGCAGTGTTATTCAGAGTCACAACCATTTCTCTATCAGATAAGAATGTCTTAATCCATTCAAGTAAGAATCCTCTGATACCAATGTTGTACAATTTACTGATCATAATTTAATTTCTTACTGAATCAAATGCTTTCATTTAAGAACATGAATGGAACATGTATGTTTTGTCTTAGAAAACTACAGTTCTGACATGTAGCAAAACTGATTCCGATATATTGAAAACTGATTTCGTCAAATTGATATTACTAGTACTTCATGTGATGCGTTCTCGAGTTACAAACATAATGATGGAACGTGATAGATCTCTGATTCACCCTGTTTAATAATTACGAGAGAACGTAATAGATACATGGAATTATTATGGTGCAACTGCATCAAGAGCCTCACCTCGAGATATGCAACGTATTATAGTTGTTCATGTGATCATATTACGGATATATCCATCCATTCACATTGGATTATACTCAAAGCTATAACGCAAAATAAGGGTTTATCTGCAGACTCTTGGGAACTTGCTTGTTTGCAGGATATCAATCAAATTAATAAATTTCTATTCATGTCAAAGTCATTTCTCCCAAAAGTGAAAGGTATTGGCACTCAATAAGAAACTGACAATTATATATTTG